AAATAAAATATACCACAATATGCAACGTGAAAAGCTCTACAATTTACGCAGAACAGTTTATTGAAATAAGAAGACAGGAATTTTTCATTGGTGTAGAAAAATGATTCTTTCGCAGCGTCGAATATTGCTCGCACTGAATTTTGCTTTTTTGGAAAACGAAAAGTACATAATTGAAATAGGCTTTCCTTTGTAGATTGTAGAGCTTTTCACGCTGCAGCTTACAGTATATTTTGTTTTTTTTTGCGAAAACATTAATTGATAAAAAGATGACATAAGGAAAAAGGAATTTCTTGCTCGCATAGAAAAAAATTATGTTTGCGCAACATCGAAAATTGGTCATACAGAATTTTGCTTTTTTTTGGAAACAAAAAGTAAAGAATTAAAATAAGCTTTACTTTGTAAATTGTAGTTCTGTTCACGCTGCATCTCCTGGTATATTTTATTTTTCTAAAACAACGTATTAAGTGATGCAAAAATGAAATGGAAAAAGGCCGTTTTTTTTGTCCGAGGGAGACTTTTGGAACAAAAAATATTCTTCTCTGATCAAAGAATATTTATCTCCAGGTTGAGACCTCTATGATAAAAAACGACAGAGATATTAAATTTACAAAAATCAATTTTTTGTTCGAATTAGGAACAGTGTTCCTAATTCGAACACCCCATGTAAAATGGCTAGAAAACTAGATATTGTTAGCAAATGGAGTATTTCACTACCAGGAGATAAAATTTTCGAGAAGCTTCTGTCACCAGAAATGTTCCTTGGTTGATGAATTGTCAACCGCCAGCGGTTCAAGTCAAACACACCTTTCTTTCCGTCAATATGAAAACAACTACTCTGATAACAAAGTTCTCGTCGTAGCTTTGAAAAATACATAAATATGATAGATTTCGAGACATTCTTGAACAGGGATGGTTAAGCATGTCAAGCTTGAGAATAGCTACCTTCAATTAGTCCATGGGAGTTGAAAGTGATTTCTCTAGACATAGCAGAGCTATACACAAAGCTCATCAACATCTGGGTGTGGGTATGGGCATGGGTGTGGATATGAGTGGCTATGGGTATAACAAATTAGGATACTCATACCTATATTCACACCCCACACTCACATCCATAAACACATACCCACACCCACACTCACATCCATAAACACATACCCACACCCACACCCACATCCATACACCCCACACCAACCCCTATGAGTATTATCTCGTGGTGAAACATCGGATGATTTTATTAGAAGAAGTCAATGCAAATACAAATGGTTACTTTTCATCAATGATTACTTACCTTGTGGTGATGGTTTTTTCATTGCTTCTAGAACTTTTTCGCCATGCGAATATTTAATTCGGTGTTTTTCCGTATTGTCTCTACATTGTCCTTGATATCGACACGGAATCAAAAAATAGGGTAAACCGGAATGAAGATATTCCGCTCGATGATATGCGTCACCTAAACGCTTGCAGTTCTGATCGAAAGGACATGCACTTACTGGATGAAGTTCATGTATTAAATGAGGTTCAAGATTTTGACAGAGGTCAGCAAAGCGACATGGATGCGAATATTTAGAATTATGATGCAAGCCCTTGTCTGAAAACTGAATCAAACAATTGATACCGCATGGACATGGTGTTATTGGTGAATCTTTCTTGCCGGCAAAAGCGTCTATTGCGTTATCCTTTATTTGAACAGCCATATTTTTCATTTGATCCATGATGCCAGCAAGTCGTCTTGCTTGATCATTAGCTACTGTGAAAGATGATGCACAAGGTTTGTCGTGGCTTTTATCAGCTTGAACATCGTTGGATGTTGCACTTTCAAACGAAGAAATTTTATCGAGTTTGAGATCGATTTTTGGATGTAAATGCTCTTGTTTTTCGAATGTGACAAACAGATTTCGAACCGATACTGCACGATTTCCGGCACTAACATGCAGAAATTCTAATTCCGATAGATCAAATGTTGATCTATGAAAGGTACAGGATATTATTTCGCGATTATAAATGGAATTCGGACCGGCATGTGAAAGTTTAACCACGCCATTAGAAGGCTGTATTTCAAAGCAAAACATCATAAAGCCATTCAAATTACATCCGAGATAGAATGATGTCGATTGAGCTGCATATCGATTTTCATCCATGAATGCTTGATGTTGAAATGGTTGACCTAAGTTCAAATAAGATGGATACTCATGGTATTGGTTCGTAGTTGTACTTGGTTTCTCTGCAATATAGCAGATTAAACTGCGCGTTTTCGAGGTAAAGTCATTTGGATCGGCTTGTTCCTTCGATAGTGTTAGCATCATATCACCGTTTATCACTTGCCAGTATATATATATCGTCATATCTTTCGAAGCTCTCGAACGATGCATGCGATAGTATTGGTACGTTTCTGATATTCTAAGAGGTATAACGAGATTATCGAGAAAATTGGTAGGTGGTATTGTGATAACAAGACCTTGAACAACAGATTGGAAATCATGCTTGTCCCATCGTTCAATCAATGCACTAGCAATACAACTAGCATACGCGTCGTTCGATTTCGTCGGTGAAATCCTTAAACGTGCACCGAAAATAGTTTTAATTCTATCATGCATGTCAACATCGAACGAATCATAAATACTCTGTGTCATGTGAATTTCGTCAATATAATCCAATGGAATCCGTTGTGGTAAACGAGCTTCTATTGAGTTTTGCGAATGAATATTGAGCCAACGGTTGAATATTATGTTAAGATCAATGTTCATCGTTCGCTGATTCGAATTATAACTTGTGAGAGCTATCAATTCAATAGCAGCTGCTTGTTCATAGCCTGGAATTGAGGCATGTAATTTTGTTTCATGAAACAGTTTAATTCGGTCATCCCCATAATTCGACTCGACTCCTAACCATGGTTGACACTGGTAGCATTTTCCTGATCGATAAGATGCGAATGATTGAATAGAAAAATTCGCATCTAGATGATGAAGAACTTCTCTTTTGAACACAATCACTATGTCACGGCAATCGTAATCCAGATGTGATCCAAGAACACTTAAAACATGTTTATCGATTTCCGATTTCACATCTAGCGGATAATTTGTGCTAACGAAATTCATATGAAGCTTTATCGCTGCTTGAACTATTTGAATAGTTAATTCACGAATTAGCTTTACATCGTCTTGAGAAATACCCTGTAACAGAATATTATCCTCTCGCTGAATGGCATTTTGCTTATCTTTAGGATAAGTGAAGTCGGACTTTGAGAATTGATATTTTCGATATAGATCACTAATTAATGCAATGATATAATTTTGGACATGTTGTCTATGCATATCAGTTGCTAGACTGCCGATAGACGTGATTTGACTATGTTGCAGTGTACAATAGGCAAGAAATTCCGGCTGTGTGAAATTTTCCATATATCCACGGCTCATGACGTGCTCATGAAGAAGAATCGATTCGAATACTTCTAATCCACAGCGATAAACAGGCCGAACAGTTCGTATCCAGTCGATAATCTCTTGCAACACTGAATCTGGTGTAGATGGCGTCCACCGATTATCGTTGATAAAATGTATAATACGTTCAACATTATTTCGTTCATTCATTAAAAAGTTGATCTTATTATTTAAATCGCAATAGGGTATAACATTCATACTTTCTCTAATCAATGCATGACGGTATTTAGATTTATGTTCAATATTGTCATGCTCTCCACATCTCGAACCATTTTTACACAAATATCGAATATCTTGAACGTTTGAATGTGTGAATGAGTTCAAATGATCTTCTTGATTAAGTTCCAGGCATTTTTTACCGTTCGAACAAACACACCGTGGAACATGAATTGTTGTTTCGCAGTGCGATGAATTCTGTTTGAGACAATTACGTCCATATCCACATACATGAGCAAAACTTGAACAATGTTGCTGGATATGATGTGGAAGCTTTTCTGTATGAGCAGCATTTTGAAACTCATCATATAAGACACAATGATAGGGAGTCCATGGACACGGCGTAGGAAATGGATGTTGGGAATCCTCCATATGTACTGTATTGTGAAAATAAGGGCAATTGCGTCCATATTGACAAGATGGTTTACAGTGACGATATGCATCGCAATGCTGTCGAATGCTTCGGTGGTAATCCGCACATTGATGCGCATTTTTACATAATGGTAAATGTCGATACTCTTTTTCATGGTTGTCGCTCGTATCTTGACAATTACTGCCATGGGGACAGTAAGAAGGATGTTCAAATTCTCGTGCATGCACTCTATCATCAATATCTCGACATAAACCACCATGTGGGCACGGATTTCGATGAATAAATGAATACACATGAACCATGTCATCCATCTTCGTACATTTGCCTGTCACACATGCTTCTGTACATAGAGGTGGATGCGAATATTGACGTACATGAGCTGATTCATATAAATCGCGACATTTGGCTCCATATTTGCACGGTGTCAAATCAAAAATGGAAACATTTTCCACAGTCGAACCATCGGTTAAAAAGCGATAAGGACCACATATTGTATTGGCTTGATGAATCGGTTGAATCGGCTCGAAAATTGATTGTTGAAATTCACGTTGAAACGGTAGAAAATTACCCTTCGGATTGAAGTTTTGTCCTGTATTATGATCATCAATAATGGCAAAGGCAATCAATCGAAAAAATCCTGCATATTGTTCAATAACTGAACGGAAAATTTTTGCCACATGATTAGGAGGATTTCTGAATGCACCACAACCGAGTGCCGATAGAACAAGGGTATCATGTTCATGGTGATGAGCTATAGCAAAAATATTTTCAATTTTTTTTCTCATTCCAACGGCATATTTCGCTGACAACATGTCCCCATCCAATGGTGGATGTCGATAAGCAGCCATAGCCAATGAACAAACATTCGTAAGTGGTTGATGCATAAATTCATAACCCTCCGTTTCTGGTTGACGAAATACAGTTAAGCCTGATGTATAGATTGCACCATATTCATCCATCGAATACATGGTAGAGGAATCCGTTAAAGATTCAGAACGACCTGTTGATGTACAATAAAATCGTAACGATGGCTGGACAAATTTGTCAAGACCAACATCAAGACTACGAAAATAGTCCGATCGTCGAAAGAAATTTTCTTCTTGTGCTCCATCACCTTTCCGATAACCACCACCAGGACTTGTGGCATTGCCCATGTTCAAAAGAAGAGGTTTTCTCCCTTGAGCAATTAAATTTTCGTAAACAACAAGACAGTCTTCGTTTAAGACCTTGACTTCAGTTTTTTCGTATGGTGCTCTCTTGATAGGCATGGGTCCGCGAAGTTTTAACTTTGATTTATGATTGTAGACGACGGTCTTTTGTTTACCATTCAAATTTAACTGAATTTCATTGTCATCGATAGTATAGCTCCTATTTCGTATAGCAGCAAGAGTATTGAGCATAACAGTCACCCGAAGTCGGTGACGCATTTCATTAGCCCAAGTATGAACTGGCTTTTCTTCATCATTGTCAGTTCTTGAGCCTTGTCTCTCCAATGTATCAATACGTTTGAATTGTTCAAGCCAAATCGGTGCATCCCATTTCAAACGAAAGATCTTGTGATCAGGCTGTGTAATGAATGGCATGATGTTCGATTCACATTGAAGCATATCTTTGTCATACCATGTGTGATCATCAATATCAGTCGCATTTGGGTTAGGCCTACCAGTATAATTCACCATGCTGACATTGATTTCTTTGCCAATCTTGAGTGTTGTGTAATTCAAACAATCATCGTAAATCTTCTTGTCATAGATGTTGAGAATCAAATTTTGTCCCAGATGATAGAGGATTTTCGCTTTTCCAGCAAATATCTGGTGACGAACAATGGCGTCAGCATCATCTTTTTCATGAACCGGACGAAGTAGTAGACGATAACTTAGAGTTTTTCTCTTTCGTATAAATTGATAATCAATATAGATCGAATCCTTTTTAGCCCATTTACGTGCCTTATTCGTCACAATAATACATGCATGGTTCATCTTTTTGTTCAGCTGAATAGAAAGAGAAGAAAATGAGATTGTGGTTGATGCGATAGCATTGCATATCAAGTCTCGTAACTGATTCTCAGTTGTCAATGCTGGAAGATCTTCCAAATAGCTACAATACGCACACGGATAAACTTGAGCTAATTGATCCACTACTACCAATTCAGGTTTCGATGCGACACATAATAATTCATCGAGTGACTTAGTTTTGAAAAGATAGATATTGGGATATTGACTATTCAATTGACCACAAAAGAGCGGCATTTCTGCATTGTAGTTTTCAATCCATCGACGGACGATTTCGTTCACTGTAAGAGAATCAATGTCCTTATTTTCCTTCGTTCTTTTGAAGACAATATATGAAACTAATTCGATTGTATCGCTAAATGAAATCATAACTGATTCTTCTCCTACATCCCATGCTATTTTGCCAACTACTTTGACTAAATGTTCTTTTTCTTCATTGTTTCTGACACGACAATAACCGATGCCAAAGTTCGAATAACATTTCACATCGATTGGCTCGATTTTAAGGACTATTGACAAACGATGTCGAAGTCTATATTCTAGTTCATTATTATTCTCGATGTCTAAAGGTAAATCAGGAATGTAGACCATGGTTTCGTATTCTCGGTTCGATGCAGATTCTAGCTGGTATGATGACGCTGGCATTACCATGCATAATCCTTTTTCTGGTGACGGTGGATATTCCATACTGATTCTGTTGTTTGTATCGAGCATTCCTCGTGGTCTCTGTTCCTGTTCCGATTGATTCGATCTTTTCTCATAAAGTGAACCATAACACTCAAGAGCAATTGCATCATACGTGGTTGTTGTTGACGGATCAATACTAGGGTACACTACAAGAATCGAAGAAGTTCACAGAATGATTGAAACTATCTTTGTATTTCAGAACAAGGGGTCATTCTTAATATTGTTTTAGTAGGGTATCGTGGGTACAAAAGCGTATTTAGATGTGCATTGTCCAATAATAGACAAAAGGGCACTATCAATGTACATAAAAACGAGGAAATTTTATCTTCAGTATCTAATCAATCAGTAATTCAAACAGTTGACTCTCATTTCTTCACATGTTTGAAAATAAATAAGCAATTTGATCTACTTTATCGTTAAGAAAAAGATCCTATTCTAATTGAAGTGTATCATTATTACGAGCAAACCTCGTAGAAACAAAACCAAATCAGACAGATTACTTCTTCATTTAGAAGAGAAGAATGAAATAATCACTCGTGAATGACGCTCGAAAGCATTACTTTTGGCTATTGCTGTTGAAGACTTGTAGAGAACGTCTTCTTGATCTCTACTCGACGGTACTAATTCTCGATCTTCCTCTTTGATGAAAGTGGTGATGTGTTCGTTTGATACATCTGCATTAGGTGATGCAAATCGTCGTGCTCCGCATGAAGTACACCGCCATGATGACTGTTCATTTTTGATCGAACATTGTTTGCATTGCCAACAGTTTTTCCTATCGAGAGGGGTATTGACACCTGTCGGTGTTGCATCCATAATGATGTAAACGGTCTTCTCGGTGTAAAAAATACGACACGCAATTCAAATATTTAAGGCAATTCCAGTTATAGTGTTCTTCGTATGATAACGTCAGTCTGTTGCTCGCCGCTATCCCAATAATCACAATGAATTAGCTATAAAAAGCGAATCGAACAACGAGCAATCACTAAATTCTAACAGATCTGAAAAAGAAAGAGAAAATTCTAAAGGATAACTTGTTCATTCAACCATCTTTTGTGATCATCATTTTAAAATTTGTTTTCATTCGATTCTCATCAAGCCGAGCTGGCAAGAGAGCATCCACAAATCTCTCCGAAGTGAAGACTCCATATTCATTTTCGTGGTAGCTCTCGATGAGATTAAGGGTAGTTCAGATATCTTCTTAGTTGCTATAGTTACTATCAAATGTTTAGAATCTATTTGCTGGATTTTCCGATCATTGTCTATGAATCCACAGAAAAATCAAATTACATGATTTTGTCTCTCGGATTTTTCATAAATAGAACTAATTAAAAGAAGCTTCGACAAAAGAAAATAAGCAATATATCAAAAGAAACGGCAGCTTTTTACTAATTTTGAGTCAAGGAAAAGGATATCACATGATTTTTTAGACGAGTTGGTCAGCTATTCAACTTCTCTGTCATTGTATTTCTCTGTGAGACACTATTTGAAATCATCATATTTTATTCGAAACGTTGTTCTGTCCCATTGAAAGTAGCAGAGTAAGATATGAAATTCACATTGAATTAATCTGAGCAAAAGAAAGTCTAAACAGGAAAAGTGTGTTCTCATTCAAAACATAAAAATGTTTTTCTTTCTTGTTTAATGATCATTATCGTGCCTGACCGTTCATCTTGTTATTGTCAAGCTGATGGATGGGAATATTTTCTTCGATGATCGGATTTATGATCATGACACTGGGTACCCCATTTGCAAGGAATTCGATTATCGTTTTTCTCTATACCAGGAGGATGAGAGTATTTTTCACAATGTTTTGCATCTGCTGCATCACGACATCTTGAACCCCATTTGCATGGTACGCGTGTAGCGGGAACAATAGTGTGTTTCTGCATTTTTTGTCGATGCTGCGTCGATTGAGCACTTACAACTGTGTATGACAAATGAAAATGAAAAAATATTTTCAGAGAAAAATAGTCTACTCTACCTTCGAATGTCTCCTCGCCAATTTCTTCTAAACCTTCTTCGCCATGTGAGTATTTCTTTCGATGACCTTCTGAATTGTCGTTACAACTTTTTTGTCGTCGGCAAGGAATCAAATAGAACGGTAAATCAGTGTGAAAAAAATGAGCCCGATGTATCGGATCGCAAAGCTGTTTGCAATTTGTATCAGAAGAACAATGGGGAAGTTCACGAGGTGCTCGAGGATGCGTTAGATTAGGTTCTGGATTTCGACAGAGCTCAGCATAACGACATGGATGCGAATATTGTGAATTATGTGTTTTTGCATTGTCTGAGAACTGAATGAGACAATTAAAACCCTTGGGACACGGTTTCAATGATGAACTGTCATCAGCACCAAATACTATATCCTTTATTTGACTGACTCTATTCAGAAATTGAGTGACAAGACCATGTGATGCTGCGTTTTGATCATCTTGTGTAGGATGATGCATTTGTGTCCTATCGATTCTTGTTTCCGTTGATGCTTTTTCGGTCATGTACGAAGTACCCTTGATGAAATCTGGATTCAATGTTAGGTGTAAATCTTCTTGTTTCTCGAATGTAATGATCAAATTTCGAATGGGCACAGTTCTATTTCCGGCGCTCACATGAATAAATTCTAACTTCTTTGTATCGAGTTCTGTTTTGGGAAATTTCCAGGAAATCTTTTGATGATTGTAGATGGCATTAGGGCCAGCGTGAGAAAGATTGACTACTCCGGTTGCACGCTGAATTTCCAGACAGAGAGTCATAAGATCATCGGTATTACATCCCATATAGAATTCATTGGATTTTCCTGCGAATCGTTTTTCGCTAACAAACACTGAATGTTCATAAGGTTGACCGCTATTCAAATATGATGTCTGTTCGTGATATTCTACGTCATCTGATGCGTCAAACGATGACTTTGGGGCAACATAACAAATTAAACAGGAATCCTTTGCATTTGTTTCGTCTGCATCAATAGGTTTAGCAGATAGTGTTAGCATCATGTCCCCATTCATCAGTTGCCAGTAGATGTAAATCGTACTTTCTCTTGTTATGTGTGGATGATCGTGACGATATTGTTCTTCCGCTTGCGAAATGGTCAAAGGTAAAACATAATGATCATTGAAGTTCGTTGACGGTATTGTCAAGATAGCACCACGAGTGGGTCGAGACACTGAATGGGGATCATCTGGACGAAATCGTTCATTGAGTTCTTCGACAACAAATTTGTTATAATCTTTAGATTCTTTATCTGAGAGCGTAAGACAATCTTTGAAAAGATCATCGACTATATTATGAGTATTTTCGCTAAGTGCCTTGTATATACTTTGTGGCATATAAATCTGTTCAATATAATCTAGTGGAATGAGTGGAGGCAGGTGAGCTTCGATAACTTCATGAGAATCCACAGTAAGCCATCGTTGAATAACTTTATCAAGATCGATTTCTACTGGTGTTTTGTTCATCTTGCGACTTGTTATGGCGATCAGTTCGAGAGCGGTCGCATATTCATATCCAGGTACAGAAGGATGCAATTTAGTTTTGTGAAATAAGTCGATCTGTGTCGACTCCACTTTCGGATTTGGAGCAGTGCCAAACCATGGACGCCATTCGTAACAATTTCCACTGAAATATGAGGTCGCTGCTTGAAGGGAAAAGTTTGCATCAGGATGATGAAGAATTTCACGTTTGAAAATGAGAACCACATCTCCATAGTGGTGACCCGTATGAGGGCCCAAAATACTAAAAATAGCTTTGTTGGTTCCCAACTTTTTATCGACAGAATAACCGATGCCAGACTTGTTCAAATTTAATTTAATGGAAGCCTCAGCTATTTCTTTTGTTTTTGCACGAATCGTTTTCATATCTTCCTGGTTTTTAAGTTGAGCTGAGAGCGCACGTTCTTTTCGTCTGATCAATTCGGCACGGTCCGCCAAACGGGCAGTATCGTCAACGTGTGTTGTAAATGATTCAGTAACGTCACCCGCATATCTTTTTAAAAATCCGGCTTTCTCATAAATATCACTAACTAAGGCAGTTATATATTCCCTGGCATTGTCTGCACATTGCGATATTTTTAAACGTTCGATTCGTCGAATTTGACTATGCTGAAGTATTGAATTCGCGACGAATTTTGGTTTGCTTAAATTATCCATGTACTCAAGACTCATAACATGACCGTGAAGAATGATCGACTCGAATATTTCCAGCTTACAACGATGAACAGGTTGAACAGTCTGTAGCCAACCCATGGAGAAAAAAAATGGCAAAAAATTGCCGAAAATGATGTAATTTACATCATTTTAATAAAAAATTTTCCACAGAGACATGATGTCCAAAGCGAAAAACATGCCATGATTTACCATGAAACGGACAGTTTAACGCATGTTTTTTAAATTCATGCAATTTTTTCGAAAATTTCATTCCATGAAAACAATTCAATTTACACGAATTTCATGTCATGAGATTTATTAAAAGTGTATCAAAACCACTATCTTTGTCTCATGAAAAAAAAATGAAAAAAATGCGATTTTTGACCATGAAACGGACAGTTTAATGCATGTTTTTAAAATTCATGCAATTTTTTCGAAAATATCATTCCATGAAAACAATTAAATCTACATGAATATTACGTCATGAAAACCATTAAAAATACATGGACATCACCATCTTTATCTCGTGAAAAAGAAATGCCATGTTTCACCATGAAACGGACAGTTTAATGCATGTTTTTAAAATTCATGCAATTTTTTCGAAAATTTCATTCCATGAAAACAATTAAATTTACACGAATACTACGCCATGAAAATCATGAAAAATACATGGAACCCATCATCTTTATCTAGTGCATAAAAAATGCCATGATTCAACATGAAAAGGACACTTTAATGCATGTTTCTGAAACTCATGCAATTTTTTCGAAAATTTCATTCCATGAAAACAATTAAATTTACATAAATATTATGCCAAGGAAATAATTAACACACATCAAAATCTTTTCCTGAAAACAATTAAAATTTAATGAAAGCCATGCCTTTATAACAATGAAAAAATTCTGCGCCTAAGCCACCAGCAGACTAAGCTGCAGGTAGCATCTGAGCCTTTCACAAGGCTCAGGCTGGTTTCCCTTCGAGGGGCTATGCGATGAACTCTTGAGAAGTTCAATTTACTCTAGAGCCATGTAAACTGACAAAAACTTAGAGTAATAAAATTTATGATTTCTAATAGAAAAAGCAGGGCACGACATCCTATCTGTCCTTACACATTTCGTTTTTCATAAACCTAAAATGTGTAAGGACAGATGTGGATATAAGGTTCAAATTCATCAATTTTTTTGATGAATTATCAAATTCATGAAATGAAAATGATGCAAAAGTAATGAAAGGAATGTTATGACTTTCTTTTTTCCAGAGTAATTAAAGTTATGAAATGAAAGTGAGGAAAAGTAGTGCAAAGATTTCGATTTTTACGTAGGCATCAAAATCATCGGTAAGAATAATGCAAAGATAATGAGAGTAATATAATCATTTTGATTTTTCCAGAGTAATCGAAGTTATGAAATGAAAATGATGTAAAAGTAATTGAAAATAATGTAATGATTTTGATTTTACCAAAACAATCAAAGCCATCAACTGAAAATAATTCGAAACTGATCAAATTAAAGTTATGACTTTGATTTTTCAAGGGTAATGAAAGTCATGGAATAATAGTGAGGAAAAATGATAAAAGCAAGGTAATGATTTTCATTTTTGCGTAGTCATCAAAATCTTGGAATGAAAATAATGCAAAAATAATAAGATTATTGCGATGATTTTGATATTCGTGAAATAACCGCAATCATATAATATTTTAAATGAAAAGTTTCGAAATAACAATTGAAATTGAATTTTTTTTGGCTTTTTTATTCCTTGCACCGATTTTTTCACTTTAGCTATGTGGTTCTGATTTGGGCGTCCATAAAGAATAAAAAAATGAAAAAAATTGCATTACAATGATGAAACGGACAAAAACATGCATGTATTTCAAATTCATTAATTAAAATGAACATTTTCATCAGTTTAATGCTATAACTTTGACTAAAATATTTTTTAATCAAAATTATGGCATTAAATTGATTAAAATGTTCATTTTAATTAATGAATTTGAAATACATGCATGTTTTTGTCCGTTTCATCGTCAGAAATGCGATTTTTTTCCTGTTTTTGATATAAAATTCATGAAAGGCATGCAATTTTTTTCATTTTTTTATTCCCTGGCAGTTTCCACAGGAAGGGAAAAAACTTATTTTGAAAAAACATGATATAAATGAAGAAAAATTGGATTTTTCTGAGATGACTAAATTAGTTTAATCAAAGGAATACTATTAATCTGAAATAAATGAAAATAATTCTATGATTTATATTAAAATATTCTGTTCCATCAAATTCATTGCATTATTTTGATGAATGTTGTCCAAACATTTTTTTGAAATGATATTTTAAAGTTTCTTTTTAACTAATCGATATAAATGTAATTATTTTCAAAGATTTGGAATTACTCTCGATTGCCATGCACCTTACTGAAAGCCGATGCTTGAAACAACATCAAGTAGCTGAAATAAAATACTTATTAGATGTATTCGTACAACAATTTCCTTCAATCTATACCGTTCGCCACCACACACAGGTGGTCCATAGTCTCACGCACGTATCAAAAACCATTGAGAATTTTGGACCACTTCAGAACTATTCCACGTTTTCATTTGAAAGTATCTTGGGTAATAAATATACTTCCATTTTCAAAATCTTTCGTCTATACTTCCATTTTAGGCGTCATTACTTCATCAGTTCACGAAACTCGAATGCATGCACAAGAAATCAGAAACAATATTGCTCTTATTCGAATGGCGACAGCTGATATTGAACGACATGACTTCAACCAACAATTAAAATTATTCTATACAGAAATAAATGCATTCAAGAAACCAGAGTGTCTTGCAACCATTGAAAAATCATCAATCGGATCCACTTACTTATCTGCCCATAGGCAATTGGATGAATATGAAAGTTTATCTATTCAACACCAGCTGCATTGTAAAATGTCGCATCCATTTTATAAAGT